GTTGAACATGGGTCTCCCAGAGCTACAGTGGGGCATCTTGGGGCCCTAACCCCTTAATTTACAGCCACGCCCCACCCAAGAGGCATGGGTGGGGATTGGTATGGGGAGGGAAACGAGTGGCTTAGTTGCTTGGAGGGTAGGGAGGATTCATAGGGTTTTGATTCTTAAGCAATAGACTAGTGACTCAACCTTGAGAAGGGCTGGGAGGTGGGCAGAGGTGCTGAGCTGGGTGGATATGAAGGGTGGGGGCGTGAAACTGACATTCAGATTTCTTCTGAATGCTGTGCCAGCATACAGCCTTGCATGCTTCAGCATATTTGCATGTTATCTATTTATTAAATTAGACTTGCTAGGCCACCCTTCCCTGCGAGCAGGGCTCAGGGCGGCTTACAACAGAATCTAGCTACTTCTGGCGTATTGATCTCATGCAGTATTGGTACTGGTACATGGGCTCTTTTTGTAGCAGGAGCTCCTTTGCATATTAGGCGACACACCCCTAATGTAGCCAATCCTGCAAGAGCTTACAGTAGCCCCTGTAAGAAGAGCTCTGTAAGCTCTTGGAGGATTGGCTACATTAGGGTGTGTGTCACCTAATATGCAAAGGAGCTCCTGCTACAAAAAGAGCCAGTTTTAGCCATAGATACAATGTATTTTTTTACAAAGCCACACCCTCCTAATGGTTGCCCCACAAGAAAAATATATGCCCCACAAAACAAAAAATCCTGGCTACAGGCCTGCCCAGATGCCAGTCCAAGACTCTAACCACAACGCCACACTGGGTCTCAGGTTACATACCGGGTCATGCCAAAGCCCATGCCGTCCCATCGTGAAGCATCATGTCTAGAGGCCATGAACCAGAAGGCCAGACTGAGAGAGGAATGTGTGCAAGAGCACTCCCATGCCGCTTTCCCAAAAGACACTTCAGCCACAATCCAGAAAGCTCTTTTAGTGATGTCCAAAGGTTTTGGCTTTCCTGCTGGAAAGTCCCGCTTTTCTTTCTTGGCAAAACAGCCCCATTCTTAATGCCACCCTGCAACTACACTCGAATCCCCTCTTACTTTGGGAAGTTGCTTCTCAGGCAGCACGACGGGACGCTCTTCCCAGAGATCGAAACTGAAGGGCTAAACTAGACATCACACAGCAGGGAGATCTGTCAGCACAATCCTAAAAAGAGATATACTTTTCCATACCCCTTGAGTTGAGGGGTGTTAGAAGGGTATAACTCTGCTTAGGCCTACCCTGTAGGTAGCAGACCTGCATGGCTACTGAAAATGGGGAACTGGCACAAGAGCTCAGTCTTTCTAAACCTGATTCCTACTGTGCTGTTTTCCCAGTGTAAATTGCTTCCCTCAAAGCTTCAAATGGGACCTTAGGGTTGACAGCTCCGGCTTCGAAAGACCTGGAGATTTGGGGGGTGGACAAATTACAAACCAAAAGTGATTGCTGTAAGAAGTTCACACATTCATAGAACAAAGGAAAATTTACAGAAGCTATAACAACTTTCTTCTTTATTCCACAGGTGAATTTAGATGAAATTGACGAACATCTCGAGTTTTTGCAAGTTCGTTTCAGGATCTTTGTCAAAATTCGGTGTCAAAGTGTTTTTTCTCACGTAACAATCCCATTTATATCTGTATAAACCTCGTTATCGTACTGGCTATGAATAGCTCTACTAATCACAATTCATATCTTCAAGGACGGACAGTGTTTATACAGATATAAATGGGATTGTTACGTGAGAAAAAACACTTTGACACCGAATTTTGACAAAGATCCTGAAACGAACTTGCAAAAACTCGAGATGTTCGTCAATTTCATCTAAATTCACCTGTGGAATAAAGAAGAAAGTTATTATAGCTTCTGTAAATTTTCCTTTGTTCTATGAATGTGTGAACTTCTTACAGCAATCACTTTTGGTTTGTAATTTGTCATCTTCATTTTGCTGTACCCTTATATGATCGATTTGGGGGGTGGAGCCTGAAGCGGCAGGCTTTGGAGAAGGGAAGGACTTTGATGGGGTACAATGCCATAGAGTCCACTTTCCAAAACGGATGACCTGATCTCTGTCACCTTGGAGATCAGTTGTAATCCCAGGAGATCTCTGGGTGCCACCTGAAGGCTGGCAGCCCTAATTAGCTCCATGGACGAAGAAAAAAATTCAGGTTCTCCCAGTCATGGATGGATGTTTTATGTCATGCCCTGTTTGGCACTCAAACCTACATGAAGTTACTCAAAAAATAAAAACAAAAGCTACAAATCACCTTTCCACATTTCCTAATCAACAATACAAATTCAGAATCAAATCCAGCAGCAGTAGAAAAATCATCAAATGAATTACCAGTTAAACCTCAAGAGAACAGGATGGATGTGGTCAAGGGCCTAAAAGCTAGTAATGACAGTAGTTACCAGGGGTCATTTCCTGCAGGAGCGCACAGGAGTGGCGCTCCGGCAGTAAAGAGCCCAGGGGGTGGGCACATGCAATAAGCCCCACCCCCTTCTCCCAGCAGCCCTCAGTCAGAGCAAGAAGCAGACAGGCAAGTTGCAGAGCGCCCCCCTCCGGTCCAAAACAGTCCAGTGGCACCTTTAAGACCAGGTTTTATTCAGGTACAAGCTCTCCCTCCTCTGCGAGGACAGATCTGCACGTTCCCCCCCCCCAATAGCTAGCAATCCAAAACAGCCCAGTGGTGCCTTCTGACACACTTCCGGTGATGTCAGGGGGTGTGGCATATGCAAATAAGTTATGCTAATGAGCTATGCTAATGCACTATGCTAGTGAGCTCCTGCACCCCTTTTTCTACTAAATGTCCCCTGGTAGTTACCCACCTAGCCTCTGGAGGCAGGACATTCGGACGGGGCCTCTAAAGGAAGTCTTAGCTCTAGGGCAGGTTAACGTGGGCGAAGGTGGTCTTTCAGATACCATGCTTAGGATACTTACAGGTCAAGACCAAGGCCTTGAACTGTGTCCAGAAGCAAACTGAAATCCTACGAAGATCTTTCAGGGTAATAAGATCATGATGGAGTACCTTAGTCAGCAGTCTGGCCACAATATATTTGAATCAGATGAAGTTTCCAAACACTTTCCCACACTTAGTTGTGTGATTCTCTGTGCAGTTCTCTGAATTATACACAATCCAATTGTGCAGTTCTCTGGATCATAACCATTATACATCTCACATCTGTGCAATGATGTCACTGCAATTCGCTTTATACATGTCCAAATGTTAACATATTCCCATACGCAAAAACAGACTTTCAGTTACTAAGATTCACCTTCATGACTGTGTACAACCGTACATCTGCCATGAAGATTTTAAAAATGGCAGCTCCCCATATTACATATGCCATTGGTCATATCCCTCAATTTTAAAAAGTCAGAAAGGAGGCCATATTCACATGCATGACTTGTAAAAACTCTCTTAAAATAAATAGGAATTATGAGCAGAGGGGGAATCTTCCACCTTCCCTTTACAGGGACATTATGATGGTTGTGCCCAACACTGATAAAATTTGAATGGCATGTTAGATAAGTGCTATATAATGTGCACACATATTTCTTAAGATCTACAGTGGTAATCTGGAAGAGGAAGAAAGACAAATATTTATTCTGCCTGTTTGTTTTTTTAGGGTAAAGACATTGGTAGAGTGATGAACTTGCTGCGTATCTTCACTATCCCTCTTTGGACGGATGTACAAACTTCCAAACTGAATCAAGCCCAAGAGTGACTGGTTCTTCCCATTTCTGGGAGAAGCTAGCTGTGCAGAGTGCTGACTGGCTGACCCATTGCCATTCCTAGCCAATCAGCACTCTGCTCTGTTAGAGGTAGGATAAATGTGGCTTTGTGGTAATCACAGGTGGTGAGGCATTCAGCACCCTGTACAGCCAAGGAATCACAAAGCCACCACAAAACCCTCTCTGTTGCCTAGATCAGCACCTCAATTCAAACAAGATGGCTTTTTTAAAAATGTAAATGGCTAAATGTACTGGTTGTCTTTTTAAAAAAAACTTTGAAAAAGCCAAGAAAACACCTGAGGCATGAGGGAGGGGGTGAAAATCCACACTAGACTTGGAGCCAGGTGTATGTGTCAGCAGCAGAGTTAGGGATACCAGCTTCTAGGTGGGACCTGGGGATCCCCCAGAATTATAGGGCATCCCCAGACTACAAAGATCAGTTCCCCTGGAGAAAATGGATGCTTTGGATGGTGGACTTTATGGCACTGCTCCCCACTAAGGCCTGTGTCCCCCCCTTGGCTCCATCCTCAAATCTCTTGGAGTATCCCAACTTGCAGCTGGCAATGCTACCCCACACACACACACACACACTGGTGGCCAGGGAGAACCTGGTAACCCTTAGCGGAGCAATGCTGAGGAGAAGCAGGGTTTATACAATAATAGAAAAACTCACAGCTGCTCCTGCAAGGAGCCCTTCTCTTTTGCCTGAATCTCATTTTGATTTGGGCTCTGCATAGTCCTGTGGCACACTAATCTCTTGTACTGCTCAACCTATTGGCCTAATTTTGCAGCCCACCCCCATTTTAAATAAAACATATCTGCAATGGGTGCTCATCTCTCAGTCAGCAGAAATCTCCCACAACCTTCTTCCTAAAAGATATCAGTGCTCTTAGAGCATTCAGTGAATGCACACAAAGTAATGGTCAGGGCCATGTCTCCTGGCTGTGCCTCCAGCTTTCTTCAGTCCTAGCTATTGGCCTGGTACAACAGATGCTTAAGTCCTATTTAAGTGAAATCCGTGTGCATAAGTTCCTGCATGCATGGATAAAGAAACATGCACATTCCACGCACAAACAACCTTTGAATGTACTGAGATTGAGGGAACAGTGGGGTGGACATGCATTCAGTTGTACCTAGATGAGTAACGGAACAAAGCTTGGATCTCTCCTTTTGGAAGTTAAGAAATATAGTACCTTTGCAGGAACCTAAAGCACAGAAACATTGTAAATCAACCGTTTTGTGTTCCGTTCCCCTCCCCCTCAGACATTACCTGCGAGTGTAGGTTTATGGAGGAATGGTTCGGGGAGTAGGGGCCCCCAAGGTCATTCCTGAGTAGGTTGTCACTGTGCATCTTAGTTTTGAGGCAGGTGATGTAACGGTTACAAAAGTCCTTGCACAATTCATTCACCTTCTCCAACTCCAGTAGATGAATTCTCAGCACCTGAATGGCTTTTACCATCTGGGAGCAATTAAACAAAAAGAGGAGATCAGTCAAATGTCCATCATTCACAGAAAGACGATGATGGTTTATCATTACCTTTAAAGGGTAATTTACAGTGCAATTCTATGCAAACACCCCAAGTTAAGCCTAGAGAAATCAGTGGGCTTAGGCTAGAGTAGCTCAGCACAAGTCTGCATTGTCGGCAACATGAAGGCAAGATCACAGTGATGGCGATGATCAAATTAGTAGACAACCTAGAAAAGAGTTAGGTTTCAGTAGCCATGTAGATTCCTGATATATGTCTGCTCTAGTGACAATCATAACCTATAATGGAAGACCTGGCAAAATGGTAGCAATGGCATTTGAGCAGATGTATTGAGAAGTGTGCGTAATATATCCCGGTCACTATAATGGTTGCACCAAGTCTTAAATGTTAGGCACAGAGTATATAAGATGCCATGGTAGGATAAGGACCTCTGACTTGTTTCATTGATAAGCATCGTCTTGGTTTTCTAGCCAAAGAAACCTACATTCATAGTAGTAGCCATGCATTCTCTATTTAATTTCATTTAAGAAAGTTACATACTGCCTTTCCATCACACTGACAACTTTAAAATAAAATGTTAGAAAGTCAGCCCAATATATGTAAGAGATGTAAAATGCTGCAGCATGGAATCAAGTAAGTTCCAGTAGCCACAATCACTCCTCCTCAGTGAAAAGTGGCTGATCTCCATTATGACCATGAAAACGGCAAAATCAGGCCACAACAGACAGAAAGGAGGGGGGGGCCCTTCCACTATAGTCAAGTAAGACTTAAAATTTAAAAAGGAAACCAAATATTGCATGTTAACTCTAGATGGGTAGCTGCCTTAGTCTGTAGTGAAAAATAAAACAGGATTCCTTTGACAACGTAAAGACTAATAACATTTATGCCAGTATAACTTTTCGTGAGTCAAAACTGATTTAATCAGATGCATGGAACATATGTCCAAAGCAGTGATTTAGACTGATACATCTGATGAAGTGAGCTCTGACTCATTAAGGTTTTTATTATTTAATAAAAACCTCTTCTGTGTTATGTAACTAGTCTCACTGGACCCATAGCTCAAGGCAGGGAAATCTAGACCAGCAACACAAAACCAAACTGAAAATACGTACACCAAAATTTCCACATTCATAAAGGTTGCTTCTATATGTGAATGAACACATGAAGCTGCCATATCATGAATCAGCCCATTAGTCCATCAAGGTCAATATTGTCTACTCAGACTGGCAGTGGCTCTCTAGGGTCTCAGACAGGGGCCTTTTGCATAGTCTACTGCCTGATCCTTTTAATAGTAGAGGCCAGGGACTGAAACTGGGACCTTCTGTGTGCCTACCAGATGCTCTGCCAGTGAGCCATGGCCCCTCCCCAATCCTTTTGCTGCGGCATTTTTTGCAGTCAGTTGCAAGCTACATTGAAATGGTGGTTCCACATATTTAATTTAGTGCTATATTCTCCATGGAAATCTGGCAATACTTTCCCTGCCATGGGAAAGTATTTGAGAGTAAAGGTTTATTTCAGTTAGTGTCGCCTGCTCCAGTTTGGGAAACCTCTGGAGATTAGGGGGGCTGTGCCTTGGGATGGCAGGGTTTGGGGGAAATGAATGATCCTACAGGGATTTGATGTCACTTTAGAACTTTTGTTTGCACTAGACTTTATGCTCCCTGAAGCTACCATTTTCTCCAGGGAAACTGATAACTGTACTCTGGGTATCAGTTGCTATTCCGGGAGAACTCTAGGCCACAATTCAAAGTTGGCAACCCTAGTTTTGAATCCCCTTTGAGGCTCAGTGAGAGCAGAGGTACATGGATTAAGCAAATAAACATCTTACGGTGCTTATAAAAGATGCTTAAGGTCTGGTAAAGGAAAGGAGTTCCATGGTTGTGGCACAACCACTAAAGAACATCTTGCCACATGCCATTACAGTCAGGACTTAGCACATGCTCAAGGATATTGCCATTTGATCTCAAGATGCCATTGGGAAAGTAGGAGGCATGTGTTTAGACCACCATTCATCCATTGAAATCAAACTTACAGAATTATTATCTATCTAAACAAGGCAACTGGGATGTCGCTTAGGATGTGGATACAATTGATATGGGTCTTGGATCTAGATATCTGAACATATTTGCAAAGAACGGAAAAAAAATCAGTAGATAATTATTTGGGTCTTTGCTGTAATATGCCTTCCATACAGGGGCAGCATTGACTTCTCAGAAACCAGTAAAATTGGGAGGGGGAAGCGGGGGGAAGCAAATGCTAATTATTCTGGCTTTAAAATCACTATAGGTGATGAAAAAGAATGTAGTTTGTTAATAGGCACTAATGAACCACATTGAAGCAGGTCAACTAAGAAAGAATCTCTCTTCCATCTTTTTAGAATTTTCTCAGTCGATTCACTACCATTAGTGTCCCAACCTAGAGTCAGGGTTAAAAAGCAGAAACAAACTCTGATTCACTGGCAATAGTTTACCTTGTTAAATGTGTGTAGGTGGTGCAGCTAATTACTTCGTTCATTAAAAACCTGCCTGGATTCAGAGAACTGTGAGCAGTTCCTGCTTCCCCAGTGGGGCTGCCCCACCTCATCCTTCCCACTGCAACCTCGTGTGCCCCTCCCCAAAGCTGCTTCTAAAGAGTGCCAGGTGACCCCACGGAATAGAGTGGGATGAAAAACAGGGGTGAGTGTGAAACTGGAGGGAGGAAAGTGGTGGAAGTCAAAGACTCCACGCTTGCTTCCCTCTCCAGGGGCCCTATGGACCCTGCCTCTCACCCGAATGACAGAGTGCCTTCCCCACTGCTAATTAACTGAATTCTCCTAATGAAGCGAATTCTCTTAATTAACGGAAGTAATCTTTAAAAAAATGAAATCCACGAGCTAACATGCTTATTTTGCAAGGTTCAGTGTTTTGTTTTTTCTAATCAAGGGGGCCTCTAAAGAAAGTTGAGACATGTTTGCAGTGCTGAATTTCTTGGATAAACAAGTGAAAGAAAGACAGATATGGGTGGCTGCCATTACAGTCCTTCCCCCCACACACACACTTATTTAAAGCAGCAGCTTTATCAAAGGAGGGCTCCACCTACAGTGATCACAGAATCTCAAACAGATGGGAGGGTGTACCAAAAATGCTTGCCCCTCCTTTGTTTCCTATACCTTATATCTTGCTCCTTAGGTATGGAAGTAGATATACAGACAGACAGACAGATTCTTCCTTAATAGGAATAAAAGATGCATGCTGGATATTTTACATTATGTTTCCTAGAGCCATTTCATATATTACATGCACACACAAGTGGATTCATAAAGACTCAGATGCTCTTTCAACTTGCATATTCACCCTTGGAACTTGCATGAATTGTAATCAATGTGCAGAAAGCAAAAGGCCCCCTGGTCAGTGTGTCTTATAATGTTTCATAGCAGTCTTAAACAATGGAGGACTCCAAAACATCTAGATGTAGGGCCCCAAAACATGTACAAAGTACTTCCATGTACTCTGGGAGGAGGAGACAGTTTGGTGTAGTGGTTAGGAGTGTGGACTCTAATCTGGGAGAAACAGGTTTGATTCCCCACTCCTCCACATGCAGCTGCTAGGTCAGCCACTAGTTCTTTCAGAGCTGTTCTCTCATGAGCAGTTCTTGAAAGAGCTCTCTCAGCCCACCTACCTCACAGGGTGTCTGTTGTGGAGAGGGGAAGGGAAAGGAGATTGTAAGCCGCTCTGAGACTCCTTCAAGTAGTGAAAGGCAGGGTATAAATTCAATATCTTCTTCTTTTCTTCTTTTCTTTGGGCTGAGTTTCTCAGGCAACTGTCTTCCCATGCCATATAGGAAACCACTTTGAAGATTTCCAAAAAGCATCTTGTAACATGGAATGATTACCGATGTTTTTATTTCAGTGACATTTAATACTGACTTTTTAATGTCAGTTTTTTTATGTTCCCTCGTCTGTATTGTATTTGATAAATGATTTAAAAATGTTTATTATTACAGGCTGAGATATAAATATATTAAATATAAGTAAGTAAGTAAGTAAAAGTTGTTGCTTCCAGCATCCAAGATGGCCAAGAGTACACAATGGGTTGGATTCAACCAGCTTCTCTTCTGGTGAAAGAGGAAGCAGAAGTCTCCGATGACAATTAAAAATGGCTACACTGGGGACCAATGTTACCCTCTAAGCTGTGGAGTCTTGTAAGCAAAAATTCTACTTTGTGAGCTCCTGGCATTAAACTTGTGAGCGAGCGATTTGGCTGCTGCATAAATTAGTTTGCTCTGGAGCCATCCTTCCTGAGCGAAGACTAAAATGTGTGAGCCGGACGCTAAAAAACTGTGAGCTAGCTCACACTAACTCAGCTTAGAGGGAACACTGCTGGGGACCATGGCCCACGGTGGCTCAGAGGTTAAGATGTTGAAACTGCAGACCAGAGGGTCTGCAGTTCGGCAGTTCAAGACCCTAGTGCCGCATGACGGAGTGATGCGTAGCAGGTCAAAGGCAAGGTCAAAGGCAAGAAATTGCCAGTAGATAAATAGGTACCACTTTGGTGGGAAGGTTACAGCATTCCATGCACCTCAGTGTTTAGTCATGCTGGCCACATGACCACAGAAATGTCTTTGGACAGTGCTGGCTCTTTGGCTTGGAAACAGAGATGAGCACCGCCCCCTGGAGTCAGATTCAACTGGCTTTTAAGCAAGGGAAACCTTTACACTGGGGACCATTGGACTTATGTGTGCAAAAGTTATGTAGGGCTATAGTAGGGAAGGGAACTGGGTGAGACTGAGCAAAAAAGTTGGCTTGATCCAACCCACTATTTGTCCACATCAAGTTGGCGCTTTGGAGAAGGATTGCACTACTCGCAGAGACAAGGAGTTACCTATGCAATAGCCCGCAGATGAGCCACATCAACCGTGAACTTCAGAAGAAGCCTCCCACCCCACCCCAGCTCTGCTTCCACCACGTCATGGTCTTAGCTACAGGCCCTGCTAC